TTAGAGAAAAGGAAAGGTGTAAGAAGCGGCCGACAGAGGGCGGCTTCAGTCGGATTTGGAGTTGATTGGAGAGGACCAAAACTGGTCGGAGTCGATTTGAAGAGGGCTGTGTGTGAGACGTGTCACTAGTAGTCAGGGGAGCAGTTCAAAGTAAAGGAAGTCACTTAAGACCGGGTCTAGCTTTGAGCTCAGGTGGCCACCATTTGCTGTCGTGGCTCGAGAGTGAATGGGGCTTTTATACTGCGTTCAGGAGCTGTTGGTCTGGCGATATCTGGTGTGTGAAGCCAAAGGGCTGAACGCCTGTGTCTGGGGGGGGGGGGCATTGTCCGTCAGCACTGGGGTGATGCTAGGGAGGAAAAGGGTATTTCGGGTATGCGTTGATTGTGACAAGTTCAAGAATGGGTTGGAAATAGTGGCTACAATGTTACAGTGTTACTGACCAGAAAGTGGTTGAAATGTGTGATAAGAGAAATGGGTAAGTTTTGTGTGGTGGCGTGTTTGTGTGGTTAGAAAGAGGCAAGAAAGATAGGAGAAAGAGAAATAGCAGAAATAAGGGCAGATAGGGGAAAGTGAAATAGAAAGGAAAGAAGGAAAGGAGAGAAATGAACCGATAAAAGAGACCTCGTGCATTGAGGCTGATTAAAAAACGCAACGCTGCTGTTCACTTAGTTCACTTTGATTAGCGCGATTATACTCCTACACTCACTGTTCACCCAGTTAGCAACACAACTGATTCATTGGCCAGTCAGCGGAAAACAACCGTTAAAGTGCAACATTCTTACATATATTTGGTGAATCTTATCAATTGCTGCAAGCAAAAAATAATCTTATCTTTTCTCTTTTCTCATGAATCTAGTGACTAGTGTTAATTAAAATGTACTTTCAACAAACATAACACGTTTAGTTTTTGTATAAAACTACCAAAAATATTCAATAAATACAAAATACATTTTTAATTTGTTTTTAAATAAAAAAAAATTAAAATGGAGCAAAACCGCGTGCTACCACCTATTTCATTTTCTGTCGAATTATCAGAAGAACACTTAACATTGAATTAGAAACATTTTTTGAAAATATAGAACAATTGCTTAATTTTCTTCATGCAATTTTTGAATTGATTGACCATTTACAACGCCAAGTTATTCCAAGAATTTTAGATCGTATTAACGAAATATGGTCCCAATATGGCCCTATTATTCGGCAGCTTTTACAATTGGCTACCGGCATTGTAGCTTGCAACATATTTGATCCTCGTGTAAAACAACTAGTACTTGATTTCTTTTTACCAAAAATTGGTGGCATTCCAACTTTAATTCAATTTTGGCTAATGTTTTTGTACTCAAAACAAATTGTGGTGTTTTATAACAACAGAAATTTTTTAAAAGAAACGTTAACCAATTTCGAACTTTTTGAGAGAAATATTATTAATTTGTACAATGAAACTCAACAATTTGAAGAGCTAATTTCTCAATATGCTAATAATGAAGGCAATCAACAAGAGCTGCTTAAACGAATTGACGCTCAAATTATAAAAATAAAAGCTCATGATGAATTAATTATTCGTCAACAATTTGCAACAATTAGAAATGAAATGCATGAATTTTTGCTAACAGCGACGGCCAATCAAAATAGAATAAGAGAAAAGGCAGCAAAAATGTTTGTTATTGGAGCTGGGGCAGCTGCTCTTGGAGTAACCGGAGTTTTCACACCACTTGCAGCTGCTGTTGGCCTAAGTACTGGATTATTTTCTGGTGCTACAGGAATTTATTATAACGCACAAATTTCTATGCAAATTGAAGAAATAAAAACTACTTTAGATCAGATAAACGTCTATGAACAGTTAACAATGAAAACGTTCAGGAAAATTGAACATTTAGAGAAGAAACACACTGCGACGTTTTTTGTTCATCTGTGTTTTAAGTATCTTTTATGGATTTCATTTTTTGCTAAATTGTATGATTTATATCAAAAGCATCCAAACTATTTTTAAAATGTATTTTTTAAATAAATTGTGATTCTATTATTTTTTGTAGTTTTAAAATATTACGTTTAAAAATGTCAAAATTTTCTCAACAGATGGAGTTTCAAATACACAAATAGTAAATTATATTTCAATGTTTTAAATTACTGCAAAATAATCTCATTTATTTCTATTTATTTTAAATTTTTGTGCTATAATAAAATTTTTTTAAAGTAAATTGCAATCTAGCTCTAGCATTTACCTCTCAAATTTGCTTATTTACTACAACCTAAGCATGCATGAATCTTGCCGTTTCAACCTGAAATGCAGATGATAGCAATAGTAAAAATGCCTGCTTTTAACAGCACTGAAATTCAATTTTTACAAATACCTAATAAAGCGACCACTAGTAAGATTGCCACCATATTCCAATTGCAGCAACGCCGATATTGTCATACTGCGATCAGCCATTCCAATTCAAAACCAAAGAATGCTCTCCTTTCTTTAGCCAAAACTGGTTGCCTTGCTTTCCAGACAATGGCTACCCTTCTCTCTTTTGCTGCAGTGCTTTCATAGCTGAAATCGATCATGGCCAGCAGAGTTGGCTGCCAAGCGCGCGCGAAGGCAGCGCCTCTTTCGCCCACCACTGCCTGCTTTCAAGTGCAATGGCTGAGTTGAGCTGACATGCGTCCCTTCAGCACTGTACGTGCACTGTGCTTCCATGTCGACGAGAGAAAGAGAGAGAGAGAGAGAGAAAGAGAGAGAGTGAGAGAGAGAGAGAGAGAGAGAGAGAGAGAGAGAGAGAGAGAGAGAGAGAGAGAGAGAGAGAGATATCATTGTCTATGAAAGCAATATATGTCAGCTGGCCCGTCCCTTTTTCCCGCTTTTGCCTGCCACTGCAAAAGCCTTAAGTGGTAGTTAGATGGTGGTGGTTTCCACTATTCAATTTAAACAGGCTTCTAAGTGTTTAGCTTTTGAAGAATAAGGCAGCCAGATTAAACCTCAGTGCTCATCTTTGATCTCAGTCTGATCTCAGTTTGGCTCCAATCTCAGTTGACCACTGAACCAAAGGCAATCAAACAATGCAGCAAAAATGATGCCTTCATTTCATTCAGTCACTTTACTTCTCCTGACTAGTCTTGCGGCAGAAAGGGAAAAAAGGATGAGGAGGAGCTTAGTTGGCTGCAGGCGAGCTGTGTTCGCTTCTCACTGGCAAAACTTGCGCGCGCCAGCGCCTGACTTGCAAGGCAATAGGCAACAGCAGAAACAGAAACAGAAAGTGCAGCAGCAGCAGTGGTGGTAGCAATAGCTGAAGCAATAGCAGAGTCACCACAGTCGCCACAGGCACTCGCCCGCCTGCCTGCCACACAGTGCGCTCACTCACTCACTCACTTTCTCTGCCCATTCTCTTTGTGTTATTCCTCTGCACACTCACACGCACAGATGCATACATCCTGAGTTGACCCGTACAGCCAGTCTGTGTACTGCCTGTGAGCCTGAGCACAGAGAGAAATCTCTGAGAAGAGTTTCTGCACCAGCAGTGGTGGAAAGCAGTAGTGTCCACCGACAGACAGACAGACAAACTCACTCTGGGCGCAATTCAGTGACTGGAGCACGCCACCACCAGCTTCTCTGCAGCAAAAGCAGCAGCATCTTTGTCGTCGGTTAGCATCGTCTAGCTTTGGCTTCATCTCTCATCTCTCTTTTCACTGGACTGCAAATTCTCTCTCATCTTTTCTTCCTTAAGCTCACCCAAAAGGTCTCTACTGCCCCTGCAGCATATCTGCACTATCTACCTATTGCATTGCCATTCACAATTCAACAAAGACCAACAAAGGCACTACCGGTGAGCATTCTTTCTTCCTTTCATTGCAGAATTTTTATCATCTTTTCCGTCTGCAGTGTCTCAAGATTGGTGTCTTTATCTACCTTTTTGCTGTAGCTGTCTGTTTTGCACTGTTTGTCACACACTGCACATTCTATTGTCTGCACCCAAATCAAAAGTTACTACCGCCTGGAACAGGTAATCCTGGCACTGGAATTTGCTAATTAGATGTGAGTATCCTTCTTGCCCGCTTGCAGTGCCATTAGTGCTGCTTTGGCACTCAAATGTTAAGTGTTAAAACAGTTGCGCTCCAATTGGCACTCTCTTTCTTGCTATATATATTAGATTGTCTCATTTCGCTATTGTCTGCAAGCAATTTTACTTGGCCACTCAAGGCAAAAACTCTCAGCTGCTGCCACCCTCCTATATCATATTTTTCTCTTTGTTCCTTTCTTCTGCAGTTTATTTTGATTTTCCTTACTGTGAGCTCGATGGTGCCAGTGGCCATACAAATTGCCGGTGCTGCTAATAAAGTAGAGAGGAAATTAACAAAGAATAAAGCTGCTTCTGCTTGAGTTTTACTTATTCTGCATCTGCTTTTCTTGTAACCACAGCACCCGACCTGATTGATTGCTTTGTTGTTCCATTTTTCCATCAAATTACCATCATTGCATCTTCCGTTGACAGGCACTGGGATTCTGAGTGTCATTGCTTGGCATTATAAGCAGCAGCAGTGCAAGTAGAATTTAAGTCAGTGCTTTCAAATTTGCTCGCAATACCAAAAACACTTTCTTTATTTTGAATCAATTTGTAACGTTTTATGCAAGCATTACTCAAACAAAGTTTGCAAATGCGTCAATTAAGTTTGCTATCATTTTTTAATACGCCTTTTAAAATGATATAACGCTTGCCAATTGCAAACTTGATAAATTGCCCAAGTTGAATTGAAGTAACTTAAACTAAAAGTTGATAACTTTTTAATGACAGTTGCAAACAATTAAGACGCATTTTATACACCGTTCCCAACTTCCGTTGCGAAAGCACAATCGATTTTTTGGCTAGCGTTTTCAACATTGTTATAGTGGTTAAACCGCAAAGCAGCAACTTTACCTGTGCTGCAGCAGGACTAACCGTTTTAAAAATCAATACACACTAATTGTCCTTTGTTTAACAATAAATTATTTTCATTTTTCAGATCTCACTGCTCCAACCAACATGGAGGTAGACATCTCAACGGCAACGACGACGACAACAGCAGCAACGACATTCGTCTTGCCTGGTGAGCCAGAAAATGGCCACAACTTGCACCCAAATTCAGCACCGCCAGCACCAAACTACGAGGGCACAACCAAACCTGCAGCCAGCCTTTGCAAAGCAACTCCAACTTTGAATTCTCAACCGACTACTTCTCGGTCACAAACTGCAACAACAACAGCAGTCAATGGAAGAGGAGGTCTCATCTCCAGCTCAGACTTTTATCCCTCTGGAACTTCAAGTGGCAAAACAAGCCAAGTGGCTAATTCAATGTCCACCACTCATTCGCAAGTATCCAACGGCCAATCAGCCTCATCTTCACCACCTCAAAGTTTACCTGCATCTCAATCCACTTCCGCTTCTTCCTCATCCTCATCCTCCTCTTCTTCCTCTTCCACCTCCTCTTCACTGCCCCAGTCACCTCAGCAGTCATCATCTGACCACCAGCATTATCCTCTTCAGTCATCACTGACCACTGAGGCTTCCAGCCACTCAACTTTGCTCAAGAAAACGACGATGAGTGACAATTCGGGACTGAATATGCTGGACGCCTTGGCGGCCAGTCAGTCCAATTCCAACAACATTGATCTCCAGCAGCAGCAACTCAACAATTCTTGCTCTTCATCAGCTGATCAGCATCAAAATCAGCATCATCACCACCATCACCACAGCAAAAAGAACAAGAAGAAGAAAAATAAGGACAAGGACAAAGTGAAAGACAAGAGCAAACACAAAGAGTCGAAGCACTTCAAAACAAGTAGCTCCTCTTCTAGTTTAAATAACCTTGATGAGGCGATGATGACCGCTGAAACTGACGGAATTTTCCCCTCAGCAGCAACTGACAACTCAGAAACGGTGAAACAAAAGAGGAAAAAGAAAAAGAAGAATAAGGATAAGATGGGGCGAAAATCTGAAAAGGATGGCGAGTCTTCCAAGTCTCGTTCAGAAGGCAGTAAGAAAAAGAAAAAGAAGCATCATCACAAAAAGTCAAATGGTGAAGCAACTATAGAAAACTCTGATGACATTGCAAATCACCTGACTTCAGTGACCAATACAGCAAATTTTCATCAGCTTTCTCAACTCGAATCAAGCTCAGCACCATCCTCCTCAGGCACTACCGCATCAGAAAACCATTCTTCCGCCATTCCTAATTCCTACCCAATCATAGTGAACCGATTGAACTAGCTGGAACTAGCGAACCTTTATCAGGCGAATTCAACCAGACCAGCTCAACATCCTCTCAATCACCTTCCAATGCCAACAACCCTGAGCCTGAAACTTCAACCAGTATCCCAATCACCCCCAACAGTATCACCCCTCTATCTGCAACTCAGCAGCAGCACTCACCCAAAAAGTCTGCCAAAAAACGGGTAAAAAAGCAAAAGTCAGCTTCGACAAGTGTTACAACTACTTCAAACACTTCTACCTCGCTTCCGGTGATCCCAACTGTCGGCATCCTCAGTTCCACCAGTGCAAACCCACCTCCTCCTTCTTCAAGCACTACTCCGATCTCACTACTGCTCACCCCACCGCCCAAGCGAGTGCGCATCCGTCGCAAGCGTGATCCCAATGCTCCGCCGGCCAAGCGAGGTCGACCCTTTGGCGCCAAAACGCATCCCTACAAGCTGAAGCGCAATCAGGAACTCATCAAGAAGCTGCAGGAGCAACTTCAACAGCAGCAAACAACCGGGGAATCCATTCTGCCTTCTCAGCAGAATATTCAGCAAACGACCGCTTTAGCATCACCTTCAACAGCGTCAGTTTTGGCAAAAAGAGGTCGAAAGTCGAGCAAATCAAGGGTGGAAGAACGGGTGGCCATCTCAAAGACAGCTCAGTCCAATGCAGTCCAATTGCCGCCGCCGCCAGGCTCACAGCCAAGATCCTCAGTTCGACTTCGCAAAAATTCTGAAATTAAAGGTCAGTCAAAGCAGGAAGAGGAGGAGGAGGCTGCACAAAGTGCGGGCAAGCAAAAGAAACGGAAGTCAGGCGATGTAAAAATTGAAGCTTCAAGCAGCAATGCTGGTGATGGCGACTCCATTTCCGCCATCATCGCCAGCGTCGCCCAGTCAGTCACCTCTCCACCAGCTGGCCCATCACTGCTAGCTTTATCATCCCCATCAAAAACATTAAAGCCTCAAAGGAAAAGAAACTTGCCTCCAAGACTAGTTTGCCTGACTTTTCGACACTTGAAGCCAAAGTTGAGCGAGTGCTAGCATCATCGATCACTTCATCTGGTGAGCAGGCAACAGGCAGCAACCAAGACAAAAGCAGAAAGCGCAAAAGAAAGCAAGTGGAAGGTGAGGGTCGCAAAAAGGAGAACCATATTTCCTCTGCCACATCTCAAGTGGAAAATCCAAATGAATCCAGCAATGCAGCAACTGACAGCGCCAATGTGAGCAGCAGCAGTTTGCTGGCCAACAGCAAAGTGCCACTGGCCATTGCTCGCACCCGATTCATCGGTCCAGTTGTGCGCATCGTTCGCCAGGGCGCCGACCTTGAGGATCTGCAAAGTTTGCTTGATCTGGGCGCCAGCAGCTCTTCTCCGCCCAAAAGGCCAAAACTAAGGAAAAGAAGAAGAAGGTTAAAAAGGGCAAAAAGTCAAGCATTGCTGATAAGGCAACTGATAGCTCGCCAGTTGAAAGCAGTGAATTCACCATGCCCTTTGAGTACTCAGTCTGCCAGCGACAAACTCAGCTTGACGGTCGAGGCATGGTTGAGGAGAATGAGAATGCCACTCAAGCGACGGCTGCAGCTGCCGGCGGAAGTGGAAGTAACCAAACAGCAGCCAGTCGAACGGGTGGCAATCTGCAAACTGTCCACCAAAAGTTGATGGCCGAACTGGGCGCCAACACGGCGCCAGCCGGCTGGACGTGCGCCTTCTGCTCGCTGCCGCCGGACGTGGAACGCCTCGGTGACCTCTACGGACCTTACTTTGTCGATCTGGTCACGACGCCTGACGTCGACTATGAGCTGATGCCGCCGCCTTCCTGCAAACTGGCTCACGCAGTTGGACGAAGTAAGTGGAACCTTTACTTAAGTGGATTCTATCAGAATTCTTGTCGGATTCTTGCCAGATTCCATTAGAATTTTTTCAAAATTTTATTAGGATTCTTTAAAGATTCTATTAGGATTCTTGCTGGATTCTTTCAGGATTTTTC